AATAAATATAAATAGCAAAGACCCCTGGAGAGAGGATGGAGCTGGGTTTTGGGACTCCTCTCATCCCAGTTGGGGGAATATTCCCATTAAAGTTGAATTTTTTGGAAGGAGGGTTTCCAGGGGAGGAGCTGGGCTGGAGCAGGAGAATGTCATCTGAATCATATTAATGCACATATAAAAATTTATATTCCTAATCTCTTGATTTATTAGCTCTGGATAATACGTGTAGATATATATTTATAGAGGTATAGATGGAGTTGTGTGTGGAGATAGAAAGACTTGTCTATAAGGATATCTGTAGAGAATTCATATTTAAATATATAAAATATAGATATTAAAATAGATATCAATATATTTATGAGGATATTTATATAGGTTTTAATGTATTAAATAAAATAGAGGTGGGTTAATATATACAGATATATTTATATTTAATATATAGGTATAACTCTATAGATACAATATCTTGTATCTATAGATATATATATCTATATATGTAGATATATATATCTATAGATATAAACTTAAATATAGATATACATCTTATAGATATATCAGATACATGTCTATATATAATCCATTAATATCTATATAGTTTATTCTCCCCCCCTCCAACAGACTTAAGACAAATATGATATATATAGAAAATATCTATATATTACATCTATCACCTATATATATATAACTGAATATACATAATTGGATATATTATTATATGTTAATATATATTATCAAGAATATAAAATACTAAGAATAAAAATACAATCCAGGACTCATATCTCATAATTTATCTCTGGATATTATTAAGTATATATGTTGAATACTTCTAGATAATAGGATCTATCTATCTATCTATCTATCTACATTTTTATATATACTATATATATATTTTTTATATATATATATACTTAATATATATAAAGTTTATATATAAACCTAATGTATGTATATACTTTATACAGATACTTTATATATGTATTTTATGTGTATATATTTAAGATTAATTAAATATATATACATAATTGAATATATATATTCAATAATATTTCAATAACAGAAAATACTAAGAATAAAAATACAATCCAGGCCTCGTATCTCATAATTTATCTCTGGATATAATTAAGTATATATGTTGAATATTTCTAGATAATTGGATATATATATGCATATATATTTATATATATACACTATATATATACACTTAATATATATACTTAATATATATATACTTTTTATATATACACCTTATGTATATATATACACTTTATAAATGTATTTTATATATATTTATATAAGATTAATTGAATATATATATGTAATTGAATATATATTCTTTATATTCAATAATATTATCAATAATATAAAATACTAAGAATAAAAATACAATCTAGGACTCATATCTCATAATTTATCTCTGGATATAATTAAGTATATTTGCTGAATATTTCTAGATAACAGGATATATATATGTATATATATTTATATATATACTTAATATATACATACCTAAAATATATATTTAATATATATATACTTTATATTTATACCTTATGTATATATATACTTTTTATATGTATTTTATGTGTATATATATATATATATAAGATTAATTTAATTTATATACCTCGTTGAATATACATAATATATAAACTTTATATATATATATACTTTATGCATTTATATACTTTATATATATGCTTTATATATGTATTTTATGTATATATATATATATATATAAGATTAATTGAATATATATATGTAATTGAATATGTATTCTCTACATTCAATACAGATCAATAATGTAAAATACAAAGAATAAACATACAATCCAGGCCTCATATCTCATAATTTATCTCTGGATAATTTTGAGTACATATGTTGAATATTTCTAGATAATAGGATATATATATGTATATATATTTATATATATACTTAATATATATATACCTTAAATATATATTTAATATATATATACTTTTATATATGTACTTTATATATATATGCTTTATACATGTATTTTATGTATATATATATATATATATATATAAGATTCAATATATGTATTCATTGTATACATTGAATAAAATCTAGAGAGAATTGACAGATACAAGGCCTGGAGAATACAGCTAATAATATAATAAGCATAGTAAATATTAAAAATATAAATATATCTCATATTTTATCTCTGGATATTATTAAGTATATATTTCTAGATAATAAGATATATATATGTACATATATATTTATATATATACTATATATATATTTAACATATATACTTTATATATATATATACACTTTATATATATATATTATATGAAGGGGTTTTTTAATGCATATATATAAGATTCAATATATTTATTCATTGCATACATTGAATAAAATCTAGAGAGAATTGATAGATACAAGGCCTGGAGAATAGAGATAATAATATATAGATTTATTTATAAAAGAATCTCCATTTATTGTTCTTTGGAGTACACAGATCTCGTATTTCAATGCGTGGACTCAGGGTGTATATTCAATATATTCAGTAATTTGTGTCTCTGTATTGGGAGGGATGTGTGTTTGTATCTCTGTGTGTGATCCAGAGATAATTCATGGACAGGACTTATGGAATTAGAAGATTTTCCGGAGCCTCCTGGAAGGGACTGATGCCGTTCGGGATCCCAAAAGCCTTCGGCACTGGAGACCCTGTGGATGGACAGGGACACCTCCCACCATCCCAGGGTCATCCAACCTGGCCTTGGACACTTCCAGGGATCCAGGGGCAGCCACAGCTTCTCTGGGAATTCCATCCCAGCCCCTCCCCACCCTCTCAGCCAAGAATTCCTTCCCAATATCCCATCTAACCCTCTGGCAGTGGGAAGCCATTCCCTGTGTCCTGTCCCTCCATCCCTTTTCCAAATTCCCTCTCCAGCTCTCCTGGAGCCCCTTCAGGCTCTTGAAGGGGCTTCAAGGTTTCCCTGGATCGTTCCCTTCTCCAAGCTGGACATTCCCAGCTCTCCCAGCCTGGCTCCGGATGTTCTCCAGCCCTCGGTGCATCTCCGTGGGCTCCTCTGGATTCGCTCCTGCAGCTCTATGTCTCTCCTGTGCTGATGATCCCAGAGCTGGAGGCAGAATTCCAGGTGGGATCTCTGGAGAGCAGAGCCGGCGGGGAGAATCCCCTCCCTTGCCCTGCCAGCCCTTGGATATTTGATATCATTTGATATCATTTTTATTGCCCACCTTTGGTTGCTGATAAAGCCACAAGACCTTTCGCCAGGTCCTGCATCCAACACTGGATTTTCCAAGGTTTTCCATTAAATTCTGGGTGGTCTAAGGGTGACCCAAGTGTCCCTTGTGCCACTGACACCTTCACCCAACGGCGCCACCCCTGTGGCTCTTTATGGATTCCCAGGACTTGATGCTCCTCTCTGGAGCTATTCCACGAGGAGCAAATCCCGGGAAAACTGGAAAGCAAAGACAGCCTCTCCTTTATCCAATCCCCTTCCCCCAAAAAACCCGGCAGCGCTTCCCTGGTGGAACAACAACCTTTGGGAATGAACGGGCTGTCAGGGCGAGCCTTCGGAATTGTAAGCATTCCGTTTTTCCAGCTCGCCTTTCCTCGGGAGCAGGCGTTCGTTTCAAGGAGACGCTCTCCGGGGTTTGCATCCCGCTGCTAGGATGGGGGTTGGATCTTAATTTACGGATCTTCTCTGGCTAATGCGCGGTTTTATGGACGTTCCGCTAATAGCATTACGGGCATAGTTTGGGCTTAATGCGAAATTAGAGCTCCAATTTGCATAAACAAATTACTGTTTGGATTAGCACTAAATGAGGAAGGCGGCTGATGTCGGAGGAGATTGGATTCGGCTCTGTTTGGATAACGGGGGATGGAGGGAAAAGCCGGGAAGGCTCCGGGGTGGGGCGGGCGGTGCAGGAGGTGTCGGGTGGGTTTTGGGTGGCGAAGGGACAAATTGTCCCTCTGGGATCTTTGGCAAGACAGGGGAGGTTCAGGTGGGACATGAGTAGGAATTTCTTCATGGAAATGGTTGTTAAACGTTGGAAGGGGCTGCCCGGGGAGGTGGTGGAATCCTCATCCCTGGAGGTGTCCAAGGAAGGACTGGACGTGGCGCTCGGTGCTCCAGGCTGGGGGACAACGTGGGGATGGGGCACAGGTTGGACTCGATGATCTCAGAGGTCTTTTCCATGATGATTCCATGGTATTTATCCCTAAGGTGCCACTTCAGATCCTTCAGGATAATGTTATGGGATTATTTTGGGCTCCTTATGCCCTGGATTATGGTTCCCGACCCGTCACCATCCCACTGCCTTGTTATGGGATTTGTGGATGTAGGGAAAGGTGGGAAGGTGGGAACAGGTTCCCAATGCCACCCACTGAACCCCACTTGTGTCCCAGCATCTCCTGCAGGTGATAGATGGAGATGGGAATGGCCTTGGGTGACTTGTCCTGTGCAGGGATCATAAAATCATGGAATGCTTTGGGTCGGAAGGGTCCTTAAAGACCATCTCCTTCCAACCCTCTGCCATGGGCAGGGATGTCACTTCTTAGACCAGGTGGCTCAAAGTCCCATCCAACCTGGCTTTGAGCACTTCCAGGGATATCAAAGCTTGTAGAGCTCCATAAAACTTGGTTAAGCTCAGGGAAGATCCCACATTGCTGATTCCATCATGGGATAAAATCCACATTTCCCTGTTTGCTGAGGGGGCTGGAGCTGCAAGCCAAGAGTTGGAGAGAGGCCTTGAAGGTCATTTTTTTTGGTGTGAATTACTTGGAATCAGAGCTTTTCCTCCCTGGTTTTTCCATACATCCCCTCCATTCTAGTGGAAGGTGTCCCTGCCCCTGGCAGTGGGGTTGGAATGAGATGACTTGGAAGGTCCCTTCCAACCCAAACCATCCGGTGAGCATCTGATCTGAGGGTTTGCTCATGGAGCAGCACTTTTTCGGGATATTCTCCCTAATTTGGACTCCCCTTGACTTTCTCACTCTCCTGCAGGTCCCTGTTGTTGAACCAAACCCGACCATCTCCCCAAGGTGCCAAATCCCAGCCGGCGCCGCCACGGTGGAGGAGCAAAGGCTTCCGCTGCATCGGCGGCGTCCTGTACCGAGTGTCGGCCAACAAACTCTCCAAAACCTCCAGCACCCCCGTCAGGAGCAGGGACCTGGGCACCAAAACCCCCAGCAGAGCAGGTGAGCAGCAGGATTTGTCCCGGTTCTCATCCAAAATCCATGGAGTGAAGTTTTTGAGCCGTTTATTCCCAGCCCTTGGCATTGCTGTTCATCCTCCAGCCTCGTAGGAGAGCGGATGCCAAGGGGATGGGCATCCCGTGGGTGCCAAGAGCTGTTCCTGCTTTGCAGGAGCACCAAAGGGGAAACAATGTTGAAGAAATGGGATGTTTAAGAAAATTGATGTTTTTCTTAAGCCGGGCTTAGTTCAGGCTCGTAAATCTGCGTCGTTAAACTCGGTTCTTCTTAGAACCCGAGCAAAGCCTTGAGTGACTTCAAATGGCATCACAAGGTCGGAGATGCTCATCAAACCCTGTTCAATATTGACCAAAAAATTTGGGAGGATCGTTGTGCAGACAACCCTAAAAGACAGAATTCCAACACAGCTCCCAACTTCCCGTTGAGCTTCACTTAAATCTGTGTTTCAGCTGGATTTGAGACCTCTTAGGGAAGAGCAGGTTTAAAGTGGGTTTAAACTCTTTTTTTTTTGAGTTTCTGCTTGGTCTCAACTATTTTTGCTCCATCACTGGTTTACTGAAGCTTTTTGGGGAGAGGTTAAACTGGGAAAACCAAACCCAGGGAGTTATTTTTGAAGGATATTTCTAATTTCGCCACTTTTTTTTGCTTATTCTCCTTCCTCTTCCACGTTGGGTTTGGAACCATAAAACCTGAGGAACCGTCGGGATTTCCGGGTCATCTTCCATCTCTCCCCATAATTCCTCCTCCTTCCCGAGGGGGAATTCCACAGGCACTGGCATCTCTTCCTTTGGGATAACTGGGGCTGGTTTGTGTGTTCTCGTCATCTACAAACCTTCCCACATTTACGCAAGGTTTTCAACACTTGCCAAAGTTTCTTTAAAAGACAGGGAAAAAACCAGCTTTTCCTTCCCTTCCGGCGCCAGACTCCGTGTGTTTGGAACAGCGGAGAGAAGGAAAACGCTCCCGATGGTTTAATAACTCGGAGTTTGCTTCCAGTGGCTTCTGATTTTTCCATTTCCCTGGATTTATCGGGGTGGTGTTTTGCCTCCACAATAAAGGAATGCGATACTGGTTGTCCCTGGCTGATCCATCTGCGTTCCCATCGAGGAATTTATTGATGACGAGTTAAAATTTGGTCCTGGGAATGCACTTCCTGCACCCCTTGGATGCAATCCTGGGATTCCCAGGAGCGATGGAGTGTCTCATCCATCTCCTGGAGCAACGGGAAGAGCGGGAGTTTGCCGTGGCTTTTCCATAACTTCCTTCGTCAGTGATGGAGAGACATGGAAAACACTCACTTTAGGAACCAGGGAAGTGTCACTGTCATTCCAGGAGTAATTTTTGGGGAATGTTTTGGGTGTAAAAACCCTCCCCCTGGAGCGATTCGTGGGGCAGCTGCTGAGAACTGGGAACTGTGCTCTCGTCACACCTGTGGATCCGCTCCCAAAGGAATTCCCGCTACTTCCACGGAAGCCCACAAGCGAAATGCAGGAATAACACAAACCACTGGATTGGGAGCTTGGATTTGGCCTAATTTGTAGCTCCATCAAGGATGGAGAAGCCTCAAAACAGAGCTCCAACAGTCACCGCTCATCCCAGCACAGGACAAAGATGCGGAATCCCACATGGAAAAGCCCTTTTCCTTGGGGATAATTGGCATTTCAACAAGGATACATTTTTTTCCCTTTGGAGAAGCGTTAGGAAACGGGCAGTGGGGTGGCGTGGAAGTTAATTAAACAAGCAGAATAATTGGGTTTCCTTGCTCCCAAGGAACCTTCCCTTCCTTCTTACCCGCTAAAGAGTTTTTCAGACACTCGAGGAATTTCCATGAAATCCGGGAAGGAAGCAAAAGGTCCTGGGCAATGTAACGTTTCACGAGGAAAAACAGAAGGGAAAAGACAAGATTGAAAGCAACAGAAACCAATTTAAGGTTGGACGTTGTTCGGAAACGGGCCCTGACCCCAATCTCGGCATGGCTCTGGAGGCAGGAATTGCATGCCGGCAGCTGGGGCTCACTCCAAGGGGTTTTCCAAGTGTCCAGGCTGCTTTTTTCCGTGGGCAAATCCTCCCCTGTGTGATTTTCCTCATCCTCCAGGGAGGTTTTGAGCTCTTGGGAGGTGCTTGGTGGGAGAAAGGCCGGTGGGTTTGGGGAGGTGAAGGCGGGAACCGGCCCCTGGAGCAGTGGGATTTTGTTTGTTGGGATTTCCAGTTTTGATCCGTGGCTGTTGGATCCAGAGCCTTGGATTGCTGAGCTCCCAAAGGCGGAGGTTTAAGCCTTCTGCAGCCAACACGTGTCAATCCCTTGGCCCCCTTTGAGCTCAGTCCCTTGGGTTTGGGATTCTTCCATCCCTTGACCCCTTTACAGTCAATCCCATGGGTTTGGGATTCCTCAATCCTTTTTGAGCTAAATTCCATGGCCCCTTCAATCTCAGTGCCTTGTCTTTGGGATTGTGGGATCCCTTGGCCCCTTCAGTCTCAATCCCTTGTTTTTGGGATTGCTCAATCCCTTGACTTCTTTGAGATCAATCCCTTGGCCCCTTTTGGGGTCAGTCCCTTGTTTTTGGGATTCCTCAAACCCTTGAC